TACTACTACTACTACTACTACTACTATGGTTTCTGGTTTGGTGGCAGGGTTCGGCGTGGCGCGACGTTTTTCCTCCACGAATGCCAAGAAAGATTTGTACTCCATTCTCGGCGTCGCGCGGAACTCCTCACAGGAGGAGATTAAGTCGGCCTACAAGAAGAAAGCTAAGCAGCTTCACCCCGATGTGAATCCCAACCCCCGTGCGGCGGAGGACTTTGCCGATGTGAAGCAGGCTTTTGATGTGTTATCGGATCCACAGAAGCGCAGTATGTACGACATGACCGGAAACTCTGGAGCGGCGGATAGGTTTGGAGCAGGTCCCGGGTTTAACCCCTTTGCCCAAGCCGGTGGTGATAACCCGTTCGGTGGCGCAAACCCCTTCGGCGCCGGCGGTAACCCCTTCGCGTCAGGAACTGGTGGACAGGGGTTCTCGTTTAACGATTTTGAAGAGATATTTCAGAAGATGAGTGGGGCGGGAAAGGATAAGTCCCGCAAGCCGCAGGGACCAGAGCCTGGCGCGGATATTCACTTTAAGTTGCGGCTTTCCTTTCTTGAAGCTGTCAACGGTTGCAGTAAGGAGATATCGTATAACACGTTCCGTCGCTGTGGCGCGTGTAGTGGGGGTGGATTCCAAGACTCCGGATCCAAGGCAAAGTGCGTACACTGCGGTGGGCGTGGGAAAAAGGTGATGAGCACTGGATTCTTCCACATGCAACAGGATTGCACACATTGCGGCGGAACAGGAGAGACGGGTCGTTCTTCCTGCACCCACTGCAGTGGTAAAGGCATTGTGAAGGACCGCAGTGTGCAGACGTTGCCTGTGCCCAAAGGTGTAGACAACAAGGAACGCCTTAAGGTAACTGGGAAGGGCGAGGCGGGAGTGCGCAACGGACCGCCAGGCAACCTGTATGTGGAGATCACGGTTGATGAACACCCAGTTTTCCACCGTGAGGGGTGCGACATCCACGTCATTACACCCATATCTCTGGCGACAGCGGTTCTGGGTGGCACCGTGCGGGTGTCGACGCTGACGGGTGAGGTGGAGACGAAGGTACCTGTCGGCACGCAACAAGGGGATAAACTCGTGTTGCGCGGCCGCGGCGTTCATCGACCGAACCAAAACAAGACAGGTGACTTCTTCATCCATTTCGCTGTGCTGCTGCCCAAGTCCCTCACAGAGAAGCAGAAGGGCCTTATTGCCGAGTTTGCAAAGGACGAGAAACCAGTGGAACTGACAGATCCACAGCTGCAGGAGTTGAAGAACCGCTACAAGTCATGGTTCTCTGTCTAAAGGAAGGGGAGGGGGTATTTTGGTGTTTGAAGGAAACACCTCGCGGGATGACGATGGACAGTGATGGCGAGAATGAAGAAAGTGAGAAGAAATGGAAAGGTAGTTTCTGGTGTATGTGTCTGTGTGTGTGTTTGGAGACAAGAGGGGGGGGGGATCTTATTGTTTACAAAAACAACAACAATTAAAAACCTCGTTCATGATTGCGAGAATGGATAGACCGGTGTTTATGTGCCTGTGTGTGCATCGAAGGGCGATAGGAAGGGAGTCCGTTAACGGAGGTGTAGGGTATTTCGCCTCCTTCTTCACAGAAAACAAGGAACAATAACACGAGGCGTCTTTTGTTGACCCCGCCATTTCCCTTCTCTTCTTCCTCGACTCCAAACTGGGGACAGTAAAAAAAAAAGGAACATCGACAGCCGGATACTGGCTTTGGAGTGAGGGGGGCGCACCTCTGTGGGTGAAGGTGTGATTCTGTTTGTGTGTGTGTGCGCGCGTGAATACTCCTGCTGCTAAGAAAAATATCGAAGTTGCCTTCTTTGTATCAAAAGAAGGTGGTGCAAGCGGAACACACTTCTGATAAGGGGAGAGGGCTGAAATGGTGATGGTCAGTGTCCTACGCTTGTAATTTCCGGCACAATGGCATTCACGGTAATTCTCACGTAATTGTGACACATCTTTTATTACTGTTGTTGTTTGAGACACCCTTTCTGGGTGTTCTATTGCTAATGTTCTCTTCCTTTTTGTTGTGCTTTTTCGCTTTCGCGTGGTATAAGCGGTGCTAGTTTTTAAAGCACGGTCGGTCTCAAGTGGCTGCTGAATACCGTACACATCCCACAGACGTGCCTTTCTTTTTCAGCAGTCGTAGCGGTCCGTTGGGACGGTGATAACAGGTGGGATTCGAGTGAAATTAAAAGAGAATAGTATCAGCGTTGCCCTGTAGTTATCTAGCGAATTATGAGTTCGAGGGACGAAAACCCCGTAGATGAAGAGCCCAATATTGTGGTGCAATTCTTGCGGGATCACGTGGCTTGGCGCGAGCAGGCCGGCCTCCCACTCGTACTTCAGCTGCAGCGTGAAAGGAGAAGTGATGGCGAACAGGTGACGATTGTGCTGGGCCGCATGGATCCCGAACGCCGCGCCCCAGGAGGGGATTTCTTGGAGCCAGGAGGCGGGGGTGAAGTACCGGTTGCGCCTTTACCGTTTGTGGCGGGCTTGAGTCCTCTTCTTTTGCAGGTACTAACTCTACAAGTGCTCCTTGAGGAGCAACGACGCCGCATGGCTGCCCCCCTGGGCCAGGAGGAAGCTAAACAACTCCAGAAGATGAGGCTGGATCCTGATATTATAGTTCGACTCGAAGCCGATGGCCAGGGGGTTTGTTCCATCTGCCAGGATTCGTTTCTTGCCGGGACAGAGGTATGCCGCCTCCCCTGCGGCCACATGTTTGACACGGATTGCTTGGAGCATTGGTTCAGGCGAACTCGGACATGTCCGAACTGCAGATTTCTTCTACAGGATGTGGCGCAACAGTACAAGGATGTTGTTGCCCCGGTTTGGTGGCGCACCACAGGAGATGAAGAAGATGGAAGTAGGCTAAAGGAGGACCATAGTCTTGCCGAAACGAGGGTCATGCCTGAAGCAGTGACAGAAGGTGCATGGCATCGTAACGGAGGTGCCCCTCTAGTGGCACCAATGGTAGTGGGCATGGTGGAGGAGGTCCGTTCCGGTCTACAGCGTCAGGAAGCGCAAAGGCAATCTGTTGAACAGATGCTTCAGACGTTGCCACATTCCGGGCCGGTCTCTTCTTTAATGGGCATCAGTAATGATAGCAGACAGGCGTCATCGGGCGGTGCCGGTGACCGCAGCATTCTCCAAGCAAGTGATTTAGTCGAACCTCGTGGCCTCAGCCTCTTGCCTGTGCCGCCGTCGGCCAGCCCGCAACGCATGAGGGAAACGTTCCGCGATCGGTTCTTCGCCGACGGAGCCAGTGCGCAGCGCACAGTTGACTCGCGCGGGTCCCGGCTTGACATCCGTAACTGGGAGATGTACCGGTCTTCACCGGTGCAGGCGCCGCATGGGTCTCCGCTGTCGCCATCGCGGGAGCAAGTATCTGAGCATGTGCTGCCGTCGCCAGGGGTGTGGACGGCAACGGGCGGCAGTCCTCTCCTAGACCCCGTCACGTTTGACATGGCATCGTCGACGCGCTCCTCGTCCCTGCGTCTCTCGAGGGACACTCCAGACAACGACGTTTCTACGCACATGCCGCGCGTCGCCCCGTATGCCCAGGAGGTGGCGCGAGCGTCTGCGGGCGTGCGACGCACACGGAATGGGTCTCCTGTGCACCAGCGGCGGCAGCTGGCATCTGGCAATGCGAGACACGCGGTGCACGCTTTGCGCAACAACCGCGTCGAGGATGTGCGTATCCCCGTCCCGCCAAATGGCATTAGGGTTGATGACGCCAACATGGGGCGGCCGCCTCGCTATAGGACGAATACCGCCAGCAGACTCTCGTTGTGTGCGTCGCCACCGTCTGATGCCTCGGTGCGACGACTATCGCACGAACACCGCCAACGCGGCAACAACAACCATCTTAGCAGCAGTGAGGCGCCAGAGGAGGCGCAGGGGTTAAGAGGGACACGTCCTCAAGCCGTTGTCCGTGGAAATCGCCACAACACGGAACGATACGAAGCCGTCATCCGCGGCGTGCAACGCAGATGAGGCTGCGTAGGGGAACATATGCATATATACATATGTTGTGTGCGTGTGTGTAAAAAAAATGTGTGCTTGCAGATACAACAGGTAAAAGCAAAAAAAAAAGTAGGACATACTGAATGTGGAAACGGAAGGAAGGGGCACTACTTCTTGTCATGAGACACAATATACGAGATGAAGGTACCTTTTTTCTTTCTCATGAGTTACATTGTGTTTTTTTCGGTTCTTTTCTTTATGAAAAAGAAAAAAAAAGTGTTTCTGTGTGAGTGTTGCCCTTTTTATCACTCACTTACGAGCATTATATGCGAGTACCCTCGATCCATTTTTGCGCTTCGTGTTTTTTTTTACTTTCGCCTGCCTCTATATATATATATATATATACATGTATATATACATATATACATGTATGCATGTATGTTTCGCTGTATGTGTGTGTGTGTGTGTGAGTCGCCATTTTTTCCCCTTTCCTTACTTATCCGTGTGCGTTTGTGTGACTTCGTGTCCTCTTTCCCACCTGCATGCATCCTTTGGAAGTGAAGGGGAGTGGTGAGAAGTCAATATGTCGATGTTTGGGGCCCGTGAGGTCCCCGATGACACGTTCTCGTCGGACATCACGAACATGTCAGCCAACTACCTAAATGAAAACAATTGTCAGCGCTTCTGGCAGCGGCTAATGACCTGCGTGCGGGAAAGCCAGGAGCTCGATGTGCTGTACGATTGCCGAAGCCGTATGATCGATATGCGGGAGTGTGTTACTCGCCATAAGCAGAGCACTTGGGTTTTTCGTGAGACGATGGCAACGCTGCGGCATGAAGAACAGTTTCGACACTGGCTGAAAGAGTACGATGAGTCGTTTGGTCACCCTCCGCTACTGGAAGCAGTAGAAAAGGTCCGCGCCAAACTGGAGAAGGAAGGTGGCGTGGATGTCCTCAGTCCAACGGTCTTCCACGACCCTGACCTTTTTATCCCACGGCAGAAGGTGTGATATGTGGCGCGCTGAGAGAGGTGCCCGAGGTGTGGCGCGGTGGCGGAGGACGATGAAGAAA